GACTGGCTGCAGTGGGAGGAGACAGGTAAGTACTCTTTACTTGTTCTTTACAAATGAACAAAATCATGTCAGATTTACACAAGAATTGCAGTTAGATCTTATCCTTTATCTTTACAAAATATAGGCCTCTTATTTTAAACCTAGGAGGTAAAGATTAGATTCTAGGGCCCAACAGTTTAACTCCCTAGATAAGCAGACATCTTAATTTAAAATGTAATCCCTTTTCTTTTTAAAATCTAAATTAAACCTAGTAGAGCAAGAGCTCTAACCTTGAAATGTTAACTATACACATGAGCTAAGTTTATGAACTGGAAAGAGCATTGCATAGTTGTAGCTGATTTAAAAAATACACCAGTTTAGCTTCTTTTTAAAAATAAAAAACCTCAGACTAATACTTAAAAAACAAACAAACCAAATCACACCTTCTGTAATTCAGTAGGAGACCTAACTAAAAAAATTGAGACTAGCGATTCTCAACCAACTAAGAGCTGGCATTTCCCAAGGGATGGCTTGAGTGCAAAAGAAGGCCAGAACCTCTGGTTTAGACTAATGTTGCAGAATCCTAAAGGTTGTTTGATTTTTTTAATTTAGAAGTGCAAAGTTTAAAACCCTAAGGCTAAACTAGTCCCATAGTTGGCCTGAAGGATGATTCTGCTGATCTCAGACCCTCTGCAACATGGGCGACTGGTGCCTTCCAAGTGGGGGGGAGGGACAGGGAAGGGGTTGGTGACTCATGACTCGGACACAGACTGAGACTGTTGTAAATAGTTTTCGTTTTGGGAAGGGTGCTTTTTTATTGGTGAGGGGGGAGGGATGGGGATGGGTGTTGTGAAAGTAATAAAACTTTGTTTCAAACATGTGCCTGGCCTGAGAGTGGTAGGGCAAGTGGGCTAGAAGGGGGAGTACTGGAGGAGGGGATCAGCCAGAGCCTCCCCCACTCAGTGCCCTGGCCCCTGCTGGTGGGTGTATGGCTTTCCTGGGGCCTGGGTGGCGGGAGCCTGCTGGGGCCAGTAGAGCCAGCACCATGGCCAACAGGAACATGGGGCTCTGGACATTACTGGCAGGGGCTGGAGCAGCTGTTCTGTGTGGAGGCAGGGTGGGCAAGGAGGGAGCTGCAATGTGCTGCCCCACTGGGCACAGTGCTCCTTGGCAGGGAAGGGGCTGGCCCATCATATCCTGCAGAACCTGTGGCCGCAGGGGGCCCTGCAGCCAAGGAGCTGTGCCTCGCTTGCCCCCTGCTGCCTATGTCATGTTTAAAGGGCTCGATGCAGGCAGGGAGCTCATTCCCAGAAAAATGAGGGAGGAGTTCCAGGGTCTGCTCCTGCCTTGGCCATGGGGAGGGAGCCCAGGCATCCCCAGCACTTGCTGCCCCCACCCCATACCCCCTGCAGTGCAGCCCACTTGTGCACAGCCCGGCCCCAACTAATTTATTTCAGTGAGTTTATATAGCAACCCCTGCTGCATTACCGGGGCAGTCATCCAGGGCCCCAGCCCCACGCTTTGAATGTAAAACACAGAATGATTGTTATCTTTTTTACGTTTAGTGTTCTATCATTGCACAGGATTTTCTTTTGCATTTTTTGAATTCGTATCAGTCATATCTATATCTAAACTTTGAGCCAGCCCTGAGTAACATGGTTACAATACAACAATGAGTATTTTCAGAAAATGTCGGGGGCAAAAAAACAAAAAGAAAAAGCAGGAAAAAGAAGAAGAAACCAAGAGACAAAAAGGTGCTTTAGACAAGTTTCTAACTTTAAGCTCTTCTGTAGAGGAAGAAGAAATCTGTGCATCAACATGTGTGCCAGGTAATGAGATTGGTATTGGTGAAACTGGCGAAATTTCAGAACACAAAAACTGCGATATCCCGTAATCGGACAGATACAGAACTGTTTAATATTTCTGACCCTGCTACCTGGTCTGAGCCCATTGATGACAACACAAGATGTGCAATAGTAAGACATGGGCCTGTTAAAATCAAATCTGATAGTCACAGTTTTGTTTTTCCAACAAATGAAATGTCTGCGGGAAGATTTTTCACTGAAGAAAATTAAAGAATAGTGAAAAAGTAAAATGTTGCTGGTTGGTCTAATCTGTGAAAGCAGATGCAGCATTTTGTTACTGCTGCAAGCTTTTCAGTCCTACACAAACATCAGCTTTCTAAGGAGGGATTTTGTTCGTGGCAATATATGCATAAAACATTGGAATCTCATGAAAATAGCTCAGTCCATATGGATTGTATAGTGAAGTGGAAAGAGATGAAAATTCAACTAAAAACTAATGTTATGCTTGATAGTACTTCTCAGACATTATGTGAAATCAAACGGATCCACCTAACAAGTGCAATTTAGCTGAGAGATGCATTGTATTCTGTGGGACCACTGACAAATTGTTTCAAAGCAATGGCAACTTTCTGGGACAAATTGAGTTAATGGCAAAGTTCGACCCAGTCATGAAAGAACACGTACAACATTTCGTTAATGCTGGAAATTAAAAAAAATAAAAAATAAATTGCCATTATTTGAGCCACAAAGTGCAAAATGACTTGATTCTGACATTGTCTTAAGAGGTTATTAAATCAATTGTGCATGAAGTAAAGAAGATGAAATAATTTCTCCATAATATTGGACTCCATGTCTGAAAGAGTGCTTCAGCTCTTACAAGAATATATGATATACCTTTTGAAAACTGCAGGGGACAGAGCTATGATAACGGGGCAAATGTACAATGTATTTGCCTCATCAATTAGTAGATGGGCTATTTTGCAGTCCTTTGTGAATATTACTCAGACACCAGATGGGAATGCAAAATAGAGTGTCAAGGCTGTGAGATTCCAGACAGAAAACATTAGATCAGCACTGCTGAAACTCAGAAACTACAAGGATTTGACACACACAGAGGCTGGATCACTTATAGAGATTTCTTCTGGTTGATTCCTTACTTCATTAATTGTATGGTATGACACTATTTCAAGTCAATTTGGTAAGCAAGACGATGCAGAGTAAAACAATTTGTATCCATTCTGCCAGCAAGTTAGTTGAAAGCACACGAAAAGCTCTTCTCAGTTACTGAGAAAATGGATGTGGAAATGCACTCTGTAAAGCAAAAGAACTTGCAGAAGAAATGTCTGTGCCAGCTGAACTTCCACAAACACGTGTTGGAAAGAAAAGGAAAAAAAACCCAAAACGACTTCAGCTATGAAGCTGACAATGACGTTAACACTGATGCAGAACAAAGGTTCAGAACTGAGTTTTTCAATGTTGCACTGAACTGTGCGATTATGAGGCTTGAAAGTCATTTTCAGTCATTAAGTAGCTCATGAACATCTTTGGATTTTTGTGTGATGCGAAGAAAATAGGAACTGTATCTACCAGAGATTTAAACAAGTTTTTTTGTACAGAGCTAGAGCTGCCATTAAAGAATAACGAAGGTAGTTCTACAGACATTGACTAAGCTGATCTTGTTGGTGAGCTTTGGAGCCTTTCACATCTTCTACCACAGACAGTGGATGCTCTCCAAACTCTTCAGTTCATTTACAAGAAGAAATTATCACATGTTTATCCTAATGTATGCACTGTGCTATCGTGGAAACACATGCAGCATACTTTTGGGTCAGGTCAGCAGAAGCTTTTATTCCAAAGAAACTACAGCTGTAGGGGGGATTCCAAAGTGACATGGATTTCCCAAGCACTTGAAAGGGGTCCCCCCTCAAGAGCAAAATGAGGAGGCTTATATACTTTTTAACAGTCGCTTACAACTCACGTGATCATATAGTGAAATTAGCATGAAAAGTGGCTACAACATTACTTCATTACTTCTTTGCTGTAATCAGGATGGGAACTTATTGGGGAGGCGAGGTTAGTTCACAAACCTTCTTGCACCTGGAAATCAGAGTTGTACATACTTTTTGCTATCTTCAAGGCCGTGGTGAGTGAAGCAGTTGCAGAGGAGTTACAAAGAACAAACACTTTCCCTTATCTGTTCTACTATACAGAGCCAGCAATTCTCCACAAAGCGGTTATGTCATCTTATAACTCAAATGATCAAAGTTTAAGGCATTAATTTTTTCTGATTCCACAGTGCTGAGGATATTTTTGACAGCTCCAGTGACTGTTGCTTCAGCTGAGAAAAGCTTTTCTAAGCTGAAGCTCATAAAGTCATATCTGTGCTCAACAAATGTCACAAGAACAGTGAACAGGACTGGCAACGCTATCCATCAAGGGTGAAGTTAGAAGGGAGGTTGATTTCAAGACAGTGGTACACGAATTTGTTTATAAACTGTTGGGGTCCTGAGCCATGCTATTCCAATGAAGACTGAAGTTGCCATCTCAAGTTAGTGAAACATTAGTTTCAGTTTTTGGAATGATTATACATTATGTAATTTAGTTATTTCAGATATTCATGTTTAATTATCTAGCTAAAATTGTGTCAGTTTTACATGTAATATTTTTAAACAGCTATGTTTAATTAATTAATTCAGTGAGGAAGCAGGAGGGGGAAGAGGAGAGTGTAACCGCAATTTTGATTTTTTTGATGGATCAGGGAACCCCAAAAAATTGTGGGCCAGCCCTGGGGCTGCCCAGGGATCAGAGAGTGGGGCTGTGTTTCCAAGATGGCTGATAAGTGCCAGCAGCTAGGGCCAGAGGCTGAAGCTCCCCCTGGTGGCCACAAGGGCACATGGCAAGGCTGGAGGGACTTACCACTAGATTTAGTGCCAAGTCTCTGCATTTGTAGACACCTGCCAAAAATTGCTTTTAGTCGTGACTGATTGCATGTGGAGACATACCCATTGACTCAGAGAAAGAGCAATGACTCAGAGTGCATTGTGACCACAACACCATTACAGAAAATATTATGTACAGAACTTCCCTTCTATATGGAAGTTAGGTTTACTGCTTCATGTCCATCAAAATTCAATATTATTTTGTATATGGGTGAGTGGAAACAAATATATCCCTCATCTAAATTGACACTGTGGAATTGGACTTATGGATGGTCATGCATTTTGGCCCCAAAAATTTAAAAGAATACATTCAGTTCTGTTTGTTTGTCTTTATACGTAATCATGTTAAAGCACAGAAATCTAGAAAAATCAATGCTCCTTTTTGGTATGGAGAAGCAAAATGCAAATTTGAAGGGTATATTTCATTGTTTATGAAGATCTTTATAAGCTGAGTGCCAAGGGTTTGAAACAGGCTCCACGCCCAGAGGTGCTACAGTCATGCACCCTGGTGATCTTCAAATGTGCATCTTGTTGGGGTCATTTGATCCCAGGAGTCTTTTCTGCTTATGTGCAGGGGGGGCTGGTCCCAATGATCTATAAAGTCCCTTCCAGGTCCTAACAACTATGAAACCATGAAACTATGGTGCAGGGTGCTGGCTTGGCCTGCAACACATGTGGGGTTGAGGGGGGTTCATGGGTGGATGTGGTGGGGGGCTGCCACACTCCTGCCCCTACCCCCATCGTGCATGGCTCCAGTGGCTGGCAGCAGCAGGACCGTGAGTGCTGAGTCACGGGGCTACACGTTGTGCAGGGTGCCAACCCAGCCTGAAGCCACACACCCTTGGGCAGGACTGGGCTGGTTTTTGCTGCCATGTATAGCTCCAGATGAAGGCAAGAACCACCCCAAACCTGCTCAAGCTGAGGACATGTGGCATCAGGCCAGGTCAGCACCCTGTGCCACATGTACACTGGTGACTCAGGTGACACACTGGAGGGTGGGGGGGGTGGTGGATCTCTGCCTGCAGGGGGCCCTTACTTTGCTCTTGACCCTGCTGCTACCTGATGCCACCAGCCGTGGGGGCTGTGTGTGGCAGTCCCTCACACCCATACACCCATCCACAAACCACACCCCACACCCATATAAACCCACCCACAAGCCTCCCCATACCTATACAGCCACCCACAAACCCCACACCCCCGGCATCCCCCCCTACAACTAACACCATGCATGCCCAGCCACCAGAAAGAATGGGACCTGCTGCACTAAGCTGTGGCTGCAGGGGCAGCTGTCCCCACATCCTGATAAGAGAAGGGGGCAGGGGTAACTGACTTTCCTATGATAAACTCCCAAAAGCAAACAGCAAAGAGCATATAGATATTTAGAATTTTATGATGATGATAGAGGTATTAATAGGCTGCCAAATTGCTTTAAAATTGTAAATATATCAATAAAACATTGCCCAACTTCCCCCTCCCCTCCCCCCAACACACACACACAAACACACACACACACACAGTGCCATTTCATTTTAATTGTGGAAGTACATGGATGTTTTAAATATGTGCATTTGGGAGTTTTTTTATCAGACATTTTGAAGTTGCTGAACAGGGAACACAAGAATCCCTGCTAGTGAGGCAAGTGGTGGTACCTTGGCAGAGGAGCCTGACCAGGGCCAGCACTGGGGACCCAGCTGGAAGGCAGATGAGGTGGCCAATCCTCCTGGCCATTTGGGGCCATGAGGACACACTTTGACAGTTCAGAGTGGGTCACCGCAATGAGCACATCTTCTGGGCGATAGCTGCCCAGATGGTAAAGGAGGGGCACTGGAAGACATGGTAGTAGTGCTGCACAAAGGCCAAGGTGTTGCGGCGGCAATTTACTGCTGTCCATGGGCGTGTATAGATGAAACAGTATTTCCTGTTTATGCTGATGCAACTGCATTTGTATTTGCATGATCTGGAATTTCCTGCCACTCTAAAGTCCATTTAGTACCTTTAACTAACACAACTCAGAGATGTGTTAGTTTGCTTGCATGAACAAATCCATAGTTGGGGTGGCGTAACTGGAAAGCATTGCAGCCAAAGATTCCAAAGACTTCTAATTAATCCCCTTTGCCACGAGGCGGAGCTGTGTTCCAGCCTTTAGCCAGTAGGTGCTGCTGTATGTTCTTTTTTTTAACCCTTCTTCACTCCTCATCCCTCCTTTCTCCCTCATAGCACACAGTGGAGTGGATACAAGTTCAGGTTAGGTCTACTCAGCAAAATTATTATTTTACTTTTATTTTAACAAGAAAAAATGGGAGAGGAAGCCAATAATCCCTTACTTTACTACCCCCTCTTAATTCTTCTGCCCCCCCCACCTATAGCATATATCCTCTTGCCTCTGCCCATGTACCCTCCTGTCCTTCCCCCCCCTCCCCCCCCATGTGCTGTCACTGCAGTGGACATACTCCTGGTAACAGCTGCAGCATCACCATAATGGCAAGTTTTTTGCAAGTAGTTTGAAACTTTAGAGTGAGTCGTTACACAACTTCCTTCAATATTGCAAACCTTCTGAACTTCATCACATTCTATTTCAGAACTGTGACACAAAGAAGTCCAGAGGCAGGATGTTGCCTGCTGGACCTGATGCCCAGGATATGCAGAGTCCTGGGTGATATTTAGGTAATATGTCCTACTGACCATGTGTGTGGGTGGAGGTGTTGGTGGGGGGGCGGGAAAAAGTCTGGTTTTTCAACTGTGCTCCAAACCCCCCTCCTCTTCCTTTTTTCCCCCTCCCTACAGAAAACTTTTACAGGCAGAACTTGCCAGGGGTGGCAACCAGTAATGAAGAGAGTGTAAGAAAGACCTTTATGTGCAGATTTATAGTTTTTATTTTACTTTTTGTACATATTATGTATATATTTTATATTGTCAAGGTGCTGGGGAGGAAGATCCCCCTTTTTGAAACAAGTGTTTTATTGTTGCTCCATGTGTCATTTTCTTTGGGGTGGGTGGGTGGAGTGGTTTTCGGAGACCGTGCCCACCTCAGTGTGGGGATTGCTGTGTTTAGGGGGTTTTATGCAGTCATTGCATTACTGGAAAGAGTTGCGAAGAGTTGCAGGGTGGACTGTTATCAGAGGGAGGTCAAATGCTTGTTAAGTGGTAGGGTGCAGACCAAACAACCCCACCCACCCCCAGCAGCAAGCAGGCAATCTGCAAAACTTCTCCATGCATGGACCTCCCAGGGCCTTTAGCAAGTCTTTAATGTATTATAATGCATTTTATATGCATGGTTGCTGGGGAGGGTGGGGGATGGTGGAGGGTGGAGACCTTAATGCCTGCTGCTACAGCTCCAAAACATCTTTTTTTTTTCTGACACCCTGGCAGTTTTTTCTTTGCAGCTGTACTGTTATGGGAGGTGCCATGCAAAAGTGATTTTTTTTTCAATGCTTTCTTTGCAATGCAATGTTCTCTTTACAAAATCCTGCATGCAGCACTTTTTGGAGCTGGATTTGCAGATCGCGCCCCCTCCCCCTCTCTGGAGAGAGCTCTTTGGAGTTTTGTCAGGATTGCTTTGTCCTTCATTGCCATCTCTCTCCTCTCAGCCTCCTCATAGGACAGGGAGAAGGCGAGAGGGAAATGAGGAGCAGCGCTCCCAAGGCAGCCCAGAGTAATCTGTTCAGCTACTTCTAAGCCTCTACAGAATCAAGTGTATTCAAAGAAAGCATCATTGTGGGAGAACTTTTCATCCAAATTCAAGAAATTTATACTACCTCCTTCTCCTAGGTATTGGCATGTCCTAATCAGATGGGTCTCTGATACCTCAAGAAGTCATCCTAGCAGGGAGCTGCTAATCAGCCTAGGCCAGGGTTTCAAAAAGCACTCTGCTCCCTATAGAGAGGCCAGAAGTGTTATGCAGCAGATGGCTATCCCCAGAAGTTGAGGTACCTGGAGGGGAGGCCAACCAACCTGAAATACGGGCCCTGACCAGCTTTGGGTTCAGCCTGGGAAGCTGCTGCACTCCTGCCCCTGGCCGGCTGCAAACCGCTCCCCCACTCCCAGGTCCACACCACGAAATCAAGCAGGAGCAAATACAAATCAGAATTTTTGGTTCCTCATCTTTATTTTTTTCCACAATAAATTGAATTACAAATCAATTTGATTGAGAAATCACAATAAACCTGGGGATTACTACTTCAATGCTTGAGAAACTGCTGAAATGTTCAGTGGCAAGATGTGTTCCTGCTTTAACAGCATTAATGACAATAATAATAAAAATAATAATAATAAGATGATACAGGTACCCAGAGCACTTGGAATACCCAGAGGAAAGTGAAGAAGTGGAAAATGACCGGGCTCTGTTGAGAAACCTGAGAAGGACCAGAACCCACATGGCATGAAGAGAGCAGCTCTGACTGGTGGGAACAAATTGTGCTGATGACTTGGAACGACCAGCAGTGGCTGGAGATGTTCCAAATGATGAGGGAGATGTTCTATCATATCGTCTCAATGCTGGGGCCCCACATTGTGAGGCAGGACACTGACATGCGTTGGGCCATCCCACCAGACAAGAGGGTTGCAATGGTCATCATGAAACTGTCCAGCCCATCCAGCCTCAGGTACATCACAAACCAGTTTGGCATAGCTGCCTGCACCATCGGGTTGGCAACTCGTGAGGTATGCTAAAGGAAATCGCTTCAAACAAAATTATCTGCGTGGCAAATCCACAGCAAGTCATAGATGGCTTCAATGACAAGGGGGTCCTGAACTGTGTGGGGGCTTTAGACAGCACTCACATCCCAGTGCTGTGCCCTGTGGGGAAAGGTAAGGCTTACACAAACAAGAAAGGATGATCCCACAAGCCGTGTGGACCACCAGGCTGGTTCACGAACATGTATGCCAGGTGGGCCAGCAGCACACTATGCATTCCGGTTCAGAAACCTCCCATCTGCCTGGCCTTGTGGAGAAAGGACACTATGCACCCAGCGTGTAGAAGACAACGATCTGTGACATTGCCGTTCTCCTGATTATATTAGCTGATGCTGGCTATCCCCTAAAGCCCTGGCTCATGAAGCCTTATGGAGAGAACATCACAGACCCACAGAAGCTCTGTTTTAACTACCATCTGAGCAGTTGCAGGGTGGCAGTGGAATGTGTGTTTGGCTTACTGAAAGGACGATGGGACCAGAAAATATCATGGCCTTTGTAGTGGCAGCCTATGTGCTGCACAATATCTGAGACAGCCATGGAGAGGTTTTCAAGGAGTTGTGGGAAGAAGCAGCATGGCAGGCAGCGGCCAGACAACAGATGTGTCCAGGCAGCAGCAGCAGCACAGGGACTGAGGAGATATCCTCAAGGAGAGGATGTTTGGGCAGCCCTTGTGCATGATTGGCAGGATATATTGCTGACAACATCACCTAGGAGTGCTTTGTTCTCTCTCTTGGTTATGTTAAAATTAATTCATTTACACTTTAAATCTGGTGTCTGTATACAAGGGTGTGTGGTGTTGTGGATGGAGAGCAGAGGGGAGGATGTTCAGGGGAAGGGGGAGGAAATCTGGACTGGGCTTGGGGTTTGCTGCTTCCAGCCTGTCAGTGGTTTGGGGGAGGGGGGCATTACACACCATCACCCACATCTGAATGAGCCCCCCGCCCCCCCAACATGGGTGAGAAGTTTATCTATAGCTCTTGGAGGGCTAGGTGGGTGGGGGACCAAGCCGAACAGCAACCCACATTTTCAAAAATATTGTGGTGGGCATGTTTGTTATTACCCTGAAATAAAATAGTTTTCTGATAGCATACTGTTAGGTTAACAATAATTTAGATTATTAAGAAGTATTAGCTTTTGCAGCTGAATACAAGGCATGACCTGTGGCCTAGCAATGTTGCTGACCAGAAGGCAGAATGATAGCTAAGCCTTTGCTTATGTTAAGTAATCATTTTAACTATGTTAACCATTTTCTGAGTGAAATGCAGCAAGTTTTTGCTATGTAAGTCTGTGTGCTATAAATCTGCTACAGCAAGGAACAAGATAAGACAAAGAAGCCATTGTTCTAAGTACAGTGATTGTGTCCTTAAGAAATATCTACTGCTATGCAAGTTTTTGCTAACGTATCATAATGTTACTGTTACTTAACTTTTAGCTTTTAGAAAGTGCTAGTTCAGCTTAATAGAAATATGCTGTTACGAAGATTTGTGAAGCACCGCCCAAGTATTGCTTTTGTTAACCCTGTAGTCTTGCCTTATTGTAAAAAGTATAAAAGAACGCCCCACCCTTTAGGGGGGGCCATTTTGCCTCTTTGCGGGCTTATGGCCATTGCTCGAGCAAATAAACTGCAGTAGAGCTTTTACCCGTGTTTCCTGGTTCCTATACAGCTAGACAACGAACTCCAGGGAGTTTTCTCCCACCACAACATTTATAAAACATTTCACAACATACCTCCAAAAACCATATGTGGCACTACACAAACAGACTGACAGTGTACCTGGGCAGGGAACAGGAGGGTTCCAATGGGAGACCCCATTGGAAGCTGTATGAAGATCAATGAGCTCAGGAATGCTGAGAAATGTAGTTAAAAAGAAAAAACAACAAAAAAACCAGAAGACCTCACTGCCACCACCACTGACAGCAATCGCTAATCAACCAGGCAGCAACAAACACCCACCCGCTAATCTAAATCCTGAGCATTTTATGTAATCACAGCAGCTATAGTAAATAAAAGAAAAAAACACTTTTGTAACATGGTGGGATGAGAAGGGAAAGGAACGGGAGGGGAGGATTCACATGGTTTGTCTTTGGGATCACATACTGACAGAGAGAGACCAGACCAACTGAGCATAAGCGGGTGGCAAGTGACAAGGATTTTGGGATGACTGTGCCCAGGGGAGACTCCCAGTAAGAGTCAGGACTGTCCACCAAGTGTCCAGGAGTGGTGACTGGGGAGCCCAGGTGGTTTACTTGCGCCTCCTGCTGTAATACATTAGGAAAGACGTTACAGGAAGAAAATTGGTATTTGACTTCCCCTACTGAAATCTGCAGGGAATGACACATGAAGCTTAACTCGCTTGAAGGTGCCATCCATGCAAACAGGAACACCATGTTGTACAAACACAAATGCACCGCACCAAAAAAAATAAAAAGCTGCGTAAAAATTTGCAGGCACACTACATTAATGCCTGTGTCATCTACATGTCCCATGATGCTAACTGGCATTCAAGGCTGGGTGCACCACCATGCCCCACTATGAGGAGCTGGCCTGCATGCTGGGGCCCACGGCCACTGAGCCTCCCTAGTACTACTTTGCCACTGGGGGAGGAGCGGGGGCAGGGATAGACACCACAGAAACCCAGCCAAAGTCCCCAGAGGCAGGGCCATCCCCTAGGCTTGCTGGCCTACTACCATCCAGTGATGTCAGGAGCGACAGCAGCGAGGGGCAGACACTGCAGGCCACAGCCAGTGCCACCACCACACCTGAGGGGAGCCCCAAGTGAGAAGTCCCCTGCCTCCTTCAGGACAGCAGGTGTGGCCTGGGGTGTTGCCTAAGCAACTGGAGGGCACACCCTGGTGGCCTTGGCACCAGGCCTCACCCCCACCAGAGACTTGGTCCAGCTCTACCTGCCCCCTGCAACTCATGGCCCAGGCTCCAAGCTCTCCCAGTCAAGCTGGCCACCTGTCACCAAGACTAGTAAGTCTTACACATGGCATGGGGAACTGGGAGCCTCTCCTCACCACCCCCTGCCCCACCCTTCTCCCCTGGCCTGCTCCGCCTCAAGGTCTGCCTGTACCCCAAGCGCATCCTTGTTATCTCCCTCCCTCTCTTCCTTCTCTCCCGACCCCCATTTATCAGCCATGCTGGGGGCTCACTTCCCAGCAGGGCCAGGACAATCTCCCCACCTTGCTGGCACTCCCTGCTGGATGGAGCTGGCCCTGGCCATGAGGGCAGGAGGAAGGTGTAGACTTCACCCCACGAACCTGTGGGGCCCCAGCTCCACAGCACTGGGGCCACTACCTGAGGGCCCAGCCCTCTTGGAACACTGATCTTCCCTGGTACAGGGAGAAGCTGGGCACCGCAGCCTGAACTGGCTGTGATGTTTGTCCCCAGGAGGATCCCTCCAGGCAGGACTCTGTGAAGGCCACAGGCAGTGGACACACAGTAGGAGGGGACAGCAAGATCCCAGGATGGCTGTGGCCTTTGTCAGGGGGATGGGCCCACATGACCTGGGCTTGGGGACTGTCTGCCTGGCCATATGCTCAAGAATGAGGCTAATCCTTGGGGACCCTTGCAAGACTGTTCTTGACCCATGGCATGTTGCTATAGCTGAAGATAGCCATCCATTTGCTCTTCCTCCAGACAGCACATCTGCTAGAGGAGAGGCCACTGCCCTGCACCCAGGAGCTGACTGACAGGTCTCACAGATGCCAGGGGCCATCTGGATGTGCCGCCTGTTGTGGGAGCAACACACCCAGTGAGACAGCTGGCAGGAGGAGGCACTCCATATAGAGTGGTCATGCTGCCAGAAGGCTCAGGACTTCCACAATCAAGTCCTGCAGGAGCGCTGCTGCTTTCACCACGACCATGCTGTGGCCATTGAGGTATGGGCTGGGATGGTGGCCCTGGAGTGCCTGGTCACCCAGATTGAGAGGGAGTAGCAGCTGGTCCTGGAGAGCTTGGAGGAGATGCAGCAACCCTGGGCCTCCATTGATGTGACAGTAGTACACAAGTACAGGATCACTATGCTCATGGCCTCCATCCCTACCTTAGCCACTTCTGCTGCTGTCCCCTAGGCTCCACCACAGCCATCTGGTCCCCTGGCCAGCCTCTGCTGCTGGCACTAGGGGCAGGACCCAGCTAGGAGCAGGTTGGCTGGATGGTGTCACAGCTAGCCCCCCAGCAGGCCCCACAGGTCCACTATGGCTATCAAGGGGCATGGGTCCTGCCCTCCCCTCTCTTATGCCTGGTCCGACCTGCAGTGGCTGCCCCTCAGGAGGAGCACCCACCCTCTTCCCCAGAGCAGCTGGGCCCTAGGCCACATTCGTGTGGCCCACACGCACATGGTGGTCAGGGCCAAGGCCTGGGTCAGGGCCATAGGGCAGCTAACCCCTGAGTCCCTTCTCCCTGTGCCTCTGGACCCTCTCTCATTCCCCTGGGTCACATCTACACCATTCACTACTTTCAGAGTTGGGATGGGCTTGTGCAGCAGGGGTGGGTAGTCCTGGGTGGTGGAGGATGTTGTGTGGGGTACTATGGGCATGATGCACTGCTGGTGTTTGGGAAGTTTTGTGGAGCAGGAAGGGGAATAAAATTGCTTGTTTTTAACATGGCCACACTGCCTGTGATGTTAAGGTCCTGGCAGAAAGCAGGGCTGGAGGCCCCTGGGCAGATAGCCTGGTGCTGGTGATGAGAGGCACAATGCCCTACTCAGGGGGTGGGCCAGCAGGTGGGAGGCAATGGCACCCTGCATTCTGGTTCCCATGTGCTGCTGCTGGAGGGGTTGGTCCTCATCTGTGGCATTGTGCTGGGCTGGTCGGCTCTGCTGCAGCTGCCACTGGATGCTCAACAAACATCCTACCAGTAGCAGAGATGCTAACAGCTGACCAAAGTACTCCAACCATATCACACTGGCTGACTTTGCTTTCTTGAGATACTCTTAGAGTAACTTGTCATCAGCTTGGACCACAGAAAGTAGAATGCGACTTCAGCTGGGTTTTAATACATGCAGCTATTCAGGTTTTCAACCATGACTGCCATATATTACCTGAATGCCTGTTTTGATGTATGTACTGGGAAAAGGAAAGCTGATTTTACTATTTTGCACATGTGCCACACACATGATCAAAATACTTTGTGAGCATGCATCTAAAAGTTGTTTCTATGGATGTCAATAATTTTTTTGTTTTTCTTTTGTCTTATTGCAAAATGCAAAAACAATAAGTACAGAGAAGTAATTAAGAAATTCAGTACAATTTTCAGTTCATCGTATCTTGACACACAATGCAGGGAAACAATGGAAGAGGTAAAGAAATGTATACAAACCCAGCAGATCTCTCAAATCATTTTATCCTTTGTCCAGAAAACTGGTTTATCAGAAAAAGGAATCAATCTATCTGTAAAAATAAATAGATCCTTTTGTTCAATTGATTCCATCATGCAGTTTGGACAAAAATGATCAGGAGAATAAGACTTGTCCTCTGAACAGTTATTATTCTACTGAATTGCAACTCCTGATCTAATATGTGCCAATATTACCATTATGCAGTGGCATTAAGTTACAAACAGTAAAATAGCCACAAACTAGGGATAGCAATGCAATTGTTGAGAATTGGTTCAGAACGGTCAAAAAGCAGGTTTTGAATGATAAACTCTATAGCAGACTTTGACTTTATAGAAATTATGAAAGTCACTGTTCAAAGTAAGATGCATTTAATAGCAATAGGCATTTTACCTGACAGAAGCATAAAGGATATGTCTAAGAGAAAAGTTACCAAAGTATTGCCAATCAAAGCATTTCAGAGCCTTTTGGCTCACTAGGAAACATAGAATAAGCATCCCCACTCCACACTGAAGAAGCATGCTAAGTATTATCAGGCTCCTCCGGAACAGGAGCACAAACAATGGTGGCCCTGTCCTCCTTTGAGTGGTGGTGTCAAAAATCAAGAACAGAAAAGGTGAAATTAATTAACATTTACACCATTGACAACCTTTTATACAATTCATTTGATATTTAAAAAATATCAGGCAAAAAAACTGAGTTTGAACTTCTCTAAGGAAGACATGAAGTACTCTAACTTCTTCTCAGAGTGAATGAGTCATTTGGCAGCCA